ACTTTCTGGTGGTGAATTTATCTCATCTGTTGTCACCTGATATCGTTGATTGATGTAATTTTTCTTTCAACTCTCATTGCTCGCGCTAGATAGGGTCTAAATTATTACTTGCATTGTGCGTATATATATTGAGTTTAGAATTAATTTTGATTTGCCAGTAATCCTTCTGATGAGATGGCCACGAAAACGTTCAAGGAACAAGCTTTTATACATGAAATAAGTTTTTGCAAATGGTGTTTGTACTGAGTGCGCAGCTTACTCTATTTATTGCCTTAATAATAAAATTATAATAATTATAATATTTGCAGTGTCAAATTTGGACTTACAGATGGAGCGGACTCGCTCCCTTCTATTTACACTGCAACGTTCGAACACATTTTCGTAGTTAAAACAACGTTTCGGCATATAGCCCTCATCAGGTTTGCAATGATGTGCACTCTACAAAGGAGCAGCAAATATACTGTGCTGTGCTGTGTTTGCGCCAAATGTGTCAGCTACAAAGGTGGCGAAAGGGATTGGTGATATATTAATATCCAGATACGATAATATATTCACAGTAGTGCCCAGCCAGCATTAGTGTTTACTTGCGGCCGCAAGTTGCGGATTTCAACAGCTTCTCGCAGTTTTCTGCTTGCTCTGTCGCCTGCCCTTGCCAGGACTGACACAGCCGAGAACACACTATCCGCAGCAGCTATACTCTCGCCAGAATGTTTGTCGCGCACGTGGTCACCCCATGGCTTATCGAGAGTGCGACGGCGTGCCTCGCCATTGTGCTCCCGAATTCTTGTTTCCAAGGAGCGTTCCGTCTCCCCAACATACGTTTCCCGGCACCATTTGCATTGCAATTCGTAGACTACATTCTTTGTCATACATACTCGTTCGCCTCCAGACTGACAGGTAATGCAAGGCCCTAGTGGACGTCCTCTTCGTCTTTTTTCAGTAATGTTGGGCTCGTTTACGCACTTGGGTGGTGACAGCGCCGAACGGCACAGTTGACGCCTGAGGCTGCCCGAGTGCTCGTATACGACACGTACCGGCAACTTGTATTTCCGTATTGCTTTGTTCACATGGTGGTGTACTTCATCGGACTTGAACGGTAGTTTAAGGAAGGCAGAGCGAGGATTACCGCGTCGTCTACGCCGAGGTTTCCTGGCAGCTTCCCTTGCTTCCGATATGATACTGGCTGGGTAGTTATTTATGCGCAGTTGTTTGTGTATTTTTTGTTCGCTCTCGGCTTGCATCATGGGGTTAGACGATAGTCGCTGTGCCCTTAGGAATTGAGATTGAGCGACGGCTAACTTGATGTGGTGAGGAACTGCCGATGAATAATCCACCAGTAGGCCACTACTGCATGCCTTCTGGAACAATTTGAATGACAGCTCTCCGGTTTGCCCAACTGCGATCGTTACGTCCATGTAGTCTATGCAGCCACTGTCACAACTTAATTCATGCGTGAATTTGATACGTTCGTGGCTGGCGTTGAATCTTTCTATGAGCTCCAGAAGGCGCTGCCTACCATGTTCGAACGTTGCAGTGTAAATAGAAGGGAGCGAGTCCGCTCCATCTGTAATTCTGTATGAAACTGCAGGAGGCCTCACCGCTTCTAATAAATTTGGACTTCACGGAGAATTTCAAAGTATTAGGAAATCGGAGGCCACATGCTACGTACTGCTCTTTTTCTCTCCGAAACTCAACACTTGCAAGCCAGATATGAAAGAAAGGAAAATAGTCAGTCACACCACCGGGACTCGAACCAAGGACCTTGCTATTCGCGAGCAATGCCCTAACCAACTGAACTACAGTATGACTCCTATCCACAGTAATGAGTAGTAGTGAATTGCCAGTATGATCATGGGCAAGCCAGCTGTGGATTGATCAAAGAAGGATAGATTTACCACCACTGTGGATAAGAGTTACACCTGCCCACACACGCTCTCTAAGCTGCAATGTTCTGACACAGAGCTCTCCTTCTCACCACCACCACCACCACCATCAGTTCGCGCCTGGCGCCTAGTCGATGCATGGTTGGCGGTATCCGACATAGCAGGCTGGTACATCAAGTAGCGCATGGCACATAGAAGATGACACAGCAACGACATAGCTCGATTGCGACGTGGACCTACGTTTCGTCCCCGCTGGACTCATCAGGCAATCTTCTTCTTGGATGTCTTCATACGGAGCTGGACGAATGAAGTTGAAGACACCACTGCAGCTGTACTTGTGGTTGATAAATATGGTGGTAAAGACACACCTGGCAATATGGCGGTAAACACACGCCTGACCACACACCCTCTCTTATAGCTGCAAAGTTCTGGCACTCTCCTTCTCACCACCACGAAGATTGCCTGATGAGTCCAGCGGGGACGAAACGTAGGTCTACGTCGCAATCGAGCTATGTCGTTGCTGTGTCATCTTCTATGTGCCATGCGCTACTTGATGTACCAACCTGCTATGTCGGATACCGCTAACCATGCATCGACTAGGCGCCAGGCGCGAACTGATGGTGGTGGTGATGAGAAGGAGAGCTCTGTGCCAGAACTTTGCAGCTTAGAGAGCGTGTGTTTACCGCCATATTGCCAGGTGTGTCTTTACCACCATTTTTATCAGCCATAACTCCTATGGCCCTGGCCTAGCCGACGTCAAGACAGTAAATCTACATACGGGACTGTACACAGTCTGGAGTCGTGTACTGAGTCTGTGTAGAGAAGGTTCTCGCGTTTTATGCTTCGTGGAAGCGCTATAACTAGCTTCCTGGAAATGTGATGCCAGGCTTTGTGCAAAAGCAGGCCACTGCACTAGGCACTACCGGTAGGGACTTCAGACCACGTGACTTCATGGCCCAAAAGCGTGCAAATCGACGCCTGCACAAATCGTGTGATGGTCATATGTCAAGTCGTGTAAAGAAATGTGGAACCGTTTTTCGAAATGAAGGAAGTCTTGTACAGTTGGAGAAAGTTTCGGTTCGTCTTGTTGGAGCTTGTCTTCGTTTGGGACCAGCAAGAATGGAGCTGTTACGTTCATTTTTGACGGAGATACGTATGCGGATGGAAGGGAAAGGTGAGAAACTATATGATCCGTCCGGGTCCCCTTCTTGAAAATGTGATATTCGTATTCTACGACCTCGAATTAGTCTAGATAGAAGGTAATCTTTATTGTTTTCACCTTCCAGAAGACCTATTTCTTGCATTATTCCTCTTTGTACTTTGCCGTGCAGCGCCGCCATAGTCACAGTATGGAAAGCGGCGAGAAGTATCCTGCGCTAAATGATGCTGATGTACAAATTGAATTACTCTTGGCTGTTTCGGTCCATGCCCCGATTCTTGTCTCCAATGCTGTTATGCTCGATCTGGTTGAGCTCGGCAAGAATAGCTGAAAGAGTGCCGAACTGGGAGATTTGCTGTATATTCTTGTTGCTATTTGCTGTATCTCTGCTGATGTGCGTGCTACGATTACTCCAGCCAATACAATGTCCTGTATATGTACGTGTTGAGCTTAGTCAGTGCCTCTTCCGTGATCATTCTTTTTCTTGACACCAACAGTCACGGCAACAGTCCGAAGCTATCTCAAGACTGTATTATCAATGTCTCCTGTTACTAACCACTACATTGTAAACCATGCTACATGTATTCCGCTATTTCTTGCGGAGAATCAAGATGCTTTTGGATCTGGTGTGCGGTTGCTATGCGTTGCTAAGGAAAGTGGGTTCTCTCAGTTTGACATATCTCTCTGATCTCAAATGTGTGGGACGTTTGTCGGAAAAATCCGGTGATAGGCGATGACTATTTTGCTTGTAACTTTAGTTTCCTTTGTCCGATTTAGAAAAACTAAAGACCAAACTCCTCAGGAAGCTCTAACCTATCCAAAAAGCAAAACATAAGCCACAGAAAACCGATTTGAAAAAATGGTCTGAAGTCCCTACAGTACCGGTCCTTTCTACATGCTTCCATGACACGTACCTCCCTGGCCTCAGGCTCTTTGTCTAACCATGGTAACGAACTAAGTCCAGCAAGCACGTACATGTAAGAGCGAACACACAGTCGTTGCTCTGAATTGGGATGTCGCAGAAACAAAAAAAATTATAATGAGAACCTGGCTCTCCCCATCCCTTCCCCTTTTCGCATTTCCCTTGCCTATCCCTTGTTTTTGCTGTTGTCGTCGTACCTTTATTCCAAAGTCGCATCACTAACAGGCGTCTATGTGTCCTGAGATTTATACTGCTAGCAGTATAATTATTATTATGACGTAAAAGGAATGGAACGATTGTTGACTAGCAGAGGATGCTATGGTGATACATTTACGGAAATTACGTCAAAGTACTGTAAGTCTGGCCTTACACTTTGAGCAAACCAGAGTACGTGGAAGACATAGCGATGGGTGAACCTGAAAGCCACAGAAGTAAGTCAGTTGCTACTGGATGCAGGCTAGTGGAAGTGATGAACGAATAATGAATAAACATTTTAACTCTCTGCAGCACATGCTACTGTTAATCAGATCTCTATCTTTCACTGTCACAAGTGATAAAATTGGTGCAAAATGGAGAGTAAAAAAGAGGGCGCAGGAACCACAGTCAGGAGAGAGGAGGGGGGGGGGGGGGTGCGAGCACAACAGACTAAATATCACCTGTAGTAGGATAGAACTTGTCCCCAAATGTTTCCACGTGAACAAGTTGCTGCTGCTACCAAACTTCAGTATCATCACGTGATGCAGCACCTCCTAAGCTAGTAGCAATAATGAGCCTGTTCTCGCACTCCCTGGCTGTGTAGCCAGCGCCTCCTACATTACCATCCATTTTACACAAATTGTATCACTTTTGAACAACACCATGCCCAGTGGGCCAGCAAATGAATTCGCAAGCTAGCACCGATCCCCCCTCCCCGTAGGTTCTCACCTACCAGTTCACACTTAGTTACATGCGGCTTAGCCTAGCGCCATCCTGGACTATGTTACTGTATAAAAGGGGGTACTGCAGGCATTTCCTGTATCATATTAGTCACCTTGTGATTGCCAGCTGGGCATGAAATTCCTAGTTGTGATGTCGTGTCGTCCTTCATTGCAAAGACCTATGTGATTTTTGTGATATGTCTGATAATAATGATACGGTAAGTGTGGCCTGAATACCCGCTAGTTGGCACTGTTTTATGTGCTCCAGTTCTCTATGTGCATGGTGAATTTGTTCTGAAAATATCCTAATCCTGTTATTAACCTCTCACAAAATACGTGCATGGTGAATGCGCAACTCGCTTCATTTATTGTGTTGAATCCCGTTATTGGTGATCTCTCCGTTCCTTGTAGAGACCACCGGCGCAGTGTGGTGGTCTGCAAGCGCGGTCGCAAGCATCACCTGAATCCCGGGAGCAACCCCAGGAGCAGCCACAGCCAGCACACCAGCAACGCCATCAGCAGCAACAGCAGCAACAACCTTCGTGGACAAGCATGGACCGCAGTCAAGCACCAGTGAGTTTTGTAGCAAGAAGGACCCACGGGACGGGTGTGTGTGTGATCTCCGGTAGCCTAAGGGCCCGGTCACACATGCACTGGGGTTCGCTTCGGCATCGAGGTTTTGCGACAGCGAGCCTGGTGTCGCTCCAGCGAAACCACGTGTGTATGGTCACACATACAAAGGGGGGGGGGGCTTCTATTCGGTACTCTTTGTAGTTGTAATTCTGTACTGTTGAGCTATCCGAATTCAAATAAACACTAAAAAATAAGTAATAAAGGGCAAACCCGTACTTTGGCGGAAAATTAGAGAAAAGTGGTCTGTGGTGCATACGGTATGGAGAATACTGTATGGCAGGACATTTTCGGACGGAATTTCTTTTCGTACGATTTCGTACACGGCCTCTTTTGTACTAAAATTAATTCCGTACTAAAATTTGTTCCTGTGAAGTTATGTGCACTATACATGTGCACCGCATGCGAACACGTGCATTTAGTATTTAGTGTAGCATCGTACGAAAATATAATCCGTATGAAAGGCCGAAATTCGGCTAACGTGAAATGTAGAGAAATCACGTAGAGAGCAGGTGTCTGGGTTAGAGTCTACGGCTTCGCGTGTTTTGGCTCCAGATTCTACGCGGAGATGAAGTTCTCTACGTTGTGGCACACGCAGAGAAAATGCGTAGAATCTACGGATCTGCTGGGTATCAATCAACTGCAGGCAGAAAACTGCCAAATATGGATGGGGAAAGTCCCAGTACACATTTCACGTGATTTCTCTACGTGAACGTAGAGCAGAACAGCTTTTCTTTACGTTACGGGAACGCGAAGAGAGTTCATATCAGTCCATATACAGCAGACTGTGGTGTTTTCCGCTGAAGCGAAACCGCAGAAGCGACAGTCTCGCTTCGAAAATTTTGTAGGAAGTGGATTGGAGTTTCCGCTGAAGCGCTTTTCGCCGTTGCCATGGTATTTTTCGTTCCTATGATGTCGCTTCAGCGGATCGGCTACTTTGGAGTGCATGTGTAACCGGGTCCTATATCACAGTGAGACTACGATGTATTTCACTCCGAGCCAAAGGTTCATGGCTCTGCAATGACCAGAAGCGCCATACCATGGAGGTGCATTTTTGACGTGTTGCTTCGCACTGCGACTTGAGTTTTTACGTCTTTCGAAAAATCAACTTCTTGTCGCAGGTAAACAGCGGCTCGCCTCTCGCCTATAAAGCACCATATATCAATGAAAACTAATGGAAGCACACGCAAGGCTTATTGTTTCTCTGTACTGCCCATCATGGAGCGATAGCAATTACCAAATTTCGGAACTCAGGGTGAATTTGACGTGGACTCCATTGCCTGTTCCGGTTTGGAGCAACCGCTTTGACAACAAACTTTTTAAACGAAAGGATGGGCAACTTGGCGGCAACGGGCAAACACAAAGAAGTGGCTCACTTCGATCGACTCTGGCCTCAGAGCAAACTTCAATGCCAGCTACCTTCAACAAACATATTACGAGCGAACAATCCACACTGATGATCGGTTTGGGTCTACACAATTTTGTTGTAAAACTATTCCTATTTGAAACACTCTCCTCTACCGTTTGCAAAAGTGTACCCGTTTGGATTTCGAGGCCTCATTCTGTAATGACTTTCGCAGTCATCTAAACACACACAACAACACTCAACTTCGTCCTGTTTTCAACTAACTAATTACTAGAATAAAACCTATAGATAAAGTAGCATGAGTTGCCATCAGCATACAGAGTGAATGCCGCAAGGTCATACGGTGCACGTGCATAGTATGCATGATGTCACCAGTCAGACATAAATGGCAATGAGGTAGAATAATGCATAGACAAAGGTCAAACACTATAACACAAATATGGACCCAGATCAACTACATCTCCCCTCTGAGATAAAGAATCCTCTATTAGACTAAACCGAGTGAAAGTAATCGCAAGAAGCAATAAGTACAGAATTTAATTACAGTACGTAAAGAAGCGAACAAGTAAAGGCGAGTATGGAGATCACAATCATGGATCAGAATCCAACTAGCGTACACAGTTCACATCTGTTCCTGCAGACGGTTTGCTGGGACACCTCGAGTGGCCCGTTCCGAACGACGTGGCGCTGCTGGCTGGTCAGCGGTGTTCGGCTCAACATCAACAACAACTGGGGTGTCGTCCAAGGGTTGCTTGATGACGTGTCGGCGGTTGCGACGAACAGTGCCGGTGTTTGTCTCCACATTGTACGAACGGTTTGACAGGCGTTCCACTACTTTCCCTTCCTTCTTCAAGTCTGGGATCCACACCTTGTCACCAGGCTCTAATGGCGGCAGAGGTCGGGCAGCATGGCGGCTGTCGTAAACCTCTTTCTGCTTCTCCTGCAGGGTGTACTCAGTGGTCAGGAGAGCGGTGATGTCGGGCCATTCTGGGTGAAGCTGCTCTGCAGACGTCATGACGGTCGTGCGGATACGTCGACCATACAAGAGCTGAGCTGGCGCAAAGCCGTTGGCTAGCGGCGTGTTGCGATACGCTAGGAGAGCATCAGGCAGACTCAGGTTTTTCTTGAGAAGCTCCTTAGCAGTTCGGACAGCTCGTTCTGCTTCGCCGTTCGATTGGGGGTAGCGAGGACTGGAGGTTCGGTGACTGAAGTCGTACAAGTGGGCTGAGTCGGGCCACCCAGACTTCGTGTACTGCAGGACTTGCTGCAAGACGGTGTCTGCTGCAGTGTTGGCCGCAAGCTCTTCGGCTTTGCGTGCCGAGACGATTTCACTGGTGATCGTTGATATGTGAAGAGAGATCTCTTCCGCCAGCTGAGACGTCGGCGAGTCGGCTGACGCATCCGGAGCGCGTGATAGGCCGTCCGCTACAACAAGCTGCTTTCCGGGAATATATACAGCTGCAGGGTTGTACTTCATAAGACGCATGAGCAGTCGCTGGCAGCGCAGTGGTACACGGTTCAAGTCGCGCGTGTTGATCAGAGGTATCAATGGCTTGTGGTCAGTGTGGACCGTCAATGATGGGTCGCCGTACACAAAGCCATGGAACCGTTCACAGGCCCAAACCACGGCGAGGCACTCCTTTTCAATTTGCGCATACTGCTGCTCAGTCGATGTCAATGAGCGGGACGCGTACGCAACTGGACGGAGACTGCCGTCGTGGTTCTGCAGCAAAACAGCGCCGAGACCATAGCTACTTGCACCTGCACTGATGACTGTCGGCCGTCTCGCATCGAAGAATGACAGGCAGGGGGTGTCGGTAGCGAGCTGTTTCAGCCGATCCAGGGCTGCTTGTTGCGTTGCAGACCATTCCCAGACTGCATCGTTCGCCAGCAGAAGACGAAGTGGAGCAGTGACAAAGTTGAACATGCCAAGAAGCCGTCGCAGCTCTGTGACATTCTTGGGTGGCTTGAGGTCGGTAACAGCAGACACTCTCTGTGGATCCGGCCGCAGACCGTCCTTGGAGACGATGTGGCCCAGAGACTTCACTTCACTCTTCCTAAAGTGACACTTGGACTCATTGACGGTCACGTTGGCTTTCTTGAGGATGTCGAAAACAGCTTCCAGGTTTCGATCATGCTCCTCAACGGTGCGTCCGGAGACGATGATGTCATCCATATACACAGTGACACCAGGGAGCTGATCCAGGAGGTTGGTGATGCGCTTCTGAAAAATCTCTGGTAAGTAATACCGAATGGCAGCCGCTTGAAGTAATACCGGCCAAACGGTGTGATGAATGTCGTCAAGTGCGCAGCGTCTGGCGCGAGCGGCAGTTGCCAAAACCCATTGGCTGCGTCTAGTGTTGAGAACACGGTGGCATCAGCCAGCGAGGCAAGCGCGTCATCCAGTGTTGGCAGCTGGAAAGTTTCTCGTTTCACGCATGCGTTGAGGCGCTTCAAATCCACGCAGATGCGCACTTTCCCATTGGGCTTTAACACTGGAACTATTGGTGAACACCAATCAGTCGGCTCATCCACCTTTGCGATTATGTCACCTTCTTCCATGCGTGCCAGTTCGTCGCGCACCTTGGAGTAGAGGTGGTGAGGCACTCTTCGGGCAGTCATGCAGTGGTAAGGTGTGGCTTCAGACGTGAGCTGGATGTTTACAGCAGGGCCCTTCATACACTGTACCAACTCGGGTTTGCTGTGCACAGATCCCATGCGCTGGATCAAACCCAGATCAGAGCATGCTGAGCGACTTAGGAGGCAAGTGGTAGCTCCTTCCAGGACATACACAGGAATGTCTGTGGATCTGTGGCGATGTGAGCAGTGTGCTGTGAAAACGCCATGAACAGGTAAGAGGTGATCATCAGGGCCACGTAGCTGAATGGGGGAGGCAGAAAGGCTAGGTGTTGGCGACAGTCGTTTGAATGCCTTCAATGACATCGTTGTAACATCCGCGCCTGTGTCCAGCTTGAATAGAACAGAGCGGTTTCCAGCTCGCACATCAGCAAACCACGGTGAAGTAGGCCCACTTGACTCAGCAGAACCGATGAATACAGTTTCACTGTCACTGTCACGCACTGGTGCAGACTCGGAGACATCGGATACCTGGCGTTTGGACCGACACACTTGTGCGAAGTGATTTCGCTTGCCGCACGCATTACACGACTTGCCGCGAGCTGGGCACTTACCCTGAGCATGAGCTCGGCCACAGTTCGAGCACTCCCCACGGGCGCCACTGTTGTGCTGCTGCTGCGTGGGTTGCTTGCGTCCCGAGTTCCCAGGGCAGTGAGAGACGGCTGATGAGGAGACTGGCTCCGATACGGACGAAGCAGCTGCAGAGCGACCCTGAGCTACAACCTGGTCCTCAACTTTCTCCGCTTGCCGGGCATACGCGAGTGCCTTGGCAAGGGTCTGTTCGGACGCCTCCTTCATCTGGATCTCACGGCTGACGCGTTTGTTGCACATGTGCGCCACAAGACGGTCCCTGATCCGGTTGTCCTTCTCTCCGCCAAAGTCACAAAATTCGGCTCCCTTGTATAGATCGCGAACAAATTCCTCTAGAGTTTGTCCTGGTCGTTGGATGAGTTGTTCGAATTGCGCCCGCTCGTGGACGACATTCGTTGCAGGACGGAAGTACGTGTCAAATGCTTCGACTTCAGCATATTTCTTTTTGTCGGCGTCGGACAAGCCCAGCTGGTATTCAAACACAGGGTCGGCGTCGGGTCCGAGACTATACAGTAAAGTGGAGACCTGGATTTCTTCGCTCTGACGACAATTTCGCAGCCATGCAGAAACGTGAGAACCTGAGCTTCCACGCGGGCCATCGGTCCGGGGAGCTAAAGTCGAAAGCCGCAGGTGGCTGGAAGCGAGCCATGGCCTCGAATCCTACTGTAACTACACTACTTCTGACACCATGTAATGATTTTCGCAGTCATCTAAAACACACAACAACACTCAACTTCGTCCTGTTTTCAACTAACTAATTACTAGAATAAAACCTATAGATAAAGTAGCATGAGTTGCCATCAGCATACAGTGTGAATGCCGCAAGGTCATACGGTGCACGTGCGTAGTATGCATGATGTCACCAGTCAGACATAAATGGCAATGGGGTAGAATAATGCATAGACAAAGGTCAAACACTATAACACAAATATGGACCCAGATCCACTACACATTCAATTCATTAGGCACTACAGTACAAACAGGTATATACTGGGCTTGTACAGCGCTGGGGAACTCGCTTTCGCGGAAATACTCGCTTTTCGTCCGGGCTAAAACTATTGCGTTAGTTGTTTTCTCCGTGTTGTCTTTCTTACCTTGGCAAAACTTTGACACATTTACACAGCTTGGTTTCACTAACTGGGTGTGTTTTTACTGCTTGTCTTCTGTACAGACGCTTTACGACATCATGGTACCGGGAATTGGTCCCACTGCCACTCTCTACGCCTACAACGAATCGCAGTTATTTCCGGATGGCATGGGAAGTAAGGCAGTTTGATGTATGCTGCTGTTGTCCAGGGTTGTGGTGGAATATGATTTTAACACGGCGAATCCGGACGTAGGAATGCTGCTGGCATGCTGGTGTGCACAAGCTGACTGTCTGGAAATTGTGAAATTACATTACCAAGTACAAGTACTGGTGGTGCTTCTCTTGTGTTGACCGCAGTGGCTCAGATGGGAGCAGCTGATCTATCGGCGACAACAGATACAGGCCTGCCATCGCAAGCATCGGTGAGTGAATGCGTGTCAAAGTGCGACCATGCAACACACGTCTGAAATGTGCACGGGTGTAGTGGTAGTAGTAGTAGTAGTAGTAGTAGTAGCAGCAGCAGCAGCAGCAGCAGCAGCAGCAGCAGCAGCAGCAGCAGCAGCAGCAGCAGCAGTACTTTCTGGGTGGCATTCTATTGCGTTCATAACCTCTCCCGTAAGTTCATTTTGGTATGCACCTGGGGCACAGCACCAGTGCCGTGTTTTCTTCGCCTCGTTGGCTTAGTGTTTCCCCGTCGCACCTTTGCATTGCTCTGGTGCTGTTTTTTCTACATCAGTTATCAACTGGCAATTGTTACCGATTCTAGCAATTTTGCATTATCACCCGCTGCATTTGCACCTGCAGCTTCCTTATGCCACAGTAGTATGGCTAAATGTTGCACATGCGGTCCTTCTGGGACATGCAAATCATGTGTTTGTGTCAAGAACAGTAGACAATGTACGAACTGTGCGCCAAGGGCGAAGTTGAGGTGCAAGAATCTATCAACCGCAACCTGTGGCATGACTTCCGCCAGCCAGGCAATTGCTCCACCAATTAGCTCCAGTACGCAACGCAACACCGACCCTCCAGCTAGTTGCCCTGAACTGTCAGCCGCAGCAACAGGGACAACGAGAGAGCCCCGGTCGTCTGATGTGGCCAACACCAGTGCTGAATCAAGCGTTTTTATCAGTGGGACATCGTCTGAACAGTCATTATTGCCGGGAGGAGATACAACATTGCTTTTGGCCGGTCTGAACGATTCTCAGCATAGTTCCGAAGAAAACATATGGAACAGTCCGGCGAATGACATACAAGCTTGCTTCCAAGACGTATACAACGAATGTGTGCATTGGGAGAGGAATCTGGTAATGATTCCGTATGGTTCAGCCGGGTCTTCGTTTGTGAATGAATTGGCCCGCTTAATATCAGCATTTGCCGCTGACTCGCCACTTCGTCCCATCTCTTGGACAGCGGTAACGGTTGCGTGCCAGCTACTATTACAGCGACCTCACCCGGAGTCCAGGGCTGCTGAGAATGCCACATCACGCGACGTTTGAAATCGTGGTCACGTGGCAGGTTTGAGGACATCCTGGACGAAGCTAGATGTATTCAAGCAAACCTACCCGCTGGGAAGCGTCGCCAGAAACTGCCTGATACAGTGGATGATACAACCTTCAGTCGACGAGTATTCGCAGGGAAGATTCACTCTGCAGCGAGGATGGTAGGTGATGACTCACCTGGCTCAGTGCTCGGGATGGAGTACTCGGCCGGTGGTGACAAGACTGTGCGTGAGGTACTGCAAGACAAGCACCCGTCTCCCTCACCGGCGGTTCCTGGCTCATTGGTGGCGCCGACCGACTCACAGCGGGTGAACCCAATACTCTTCGAGCGCATCACGCCAAGTATCATCAAGTTTGTTAGCAGGTCCATGAAGGGCGCCGCTGGTCCGTCCGGACTAGACTCGGAGGCCTGGACCAGGATGCTAACGGGCTTCGGCCCAGCTTCGAACCGACTTTGCACTGCATTGGCGGATTCGGCACGCGTATTGTGTACTGCGAATATCGAGCCGAGTTTCATGGAGGCATTCACTGCCGCCCGCCTGATCCCCCTTGATAAATCCCCAGGTGTTAGACCCATAGCTGTTGGGGAGGTGTTTAGGAGGATTATAGGGCGAGCGATAATGAAGGTGATCGAAAGCGACGTCAGAGCTGCGACTGCCCCGCGCCAACTTTGCGTTGGCATGCCAGCTGCTTGCGAGGCTGCCGTTCAGGCAATGGCAGGGTTTTTTAGTCTTCCTGAAACCGAAGCCGTGCTGCTAATAGATGCATGTAATGCATTCAATTATCTAAATACGAATGCTGCCCTGCACAATGTTCCCGCTCTCTGTCCTGCTTTAGGTCAGGTTTTCAAGAACACGTATGGAGCGCCATGCCGCCTCTTCGTAGCGGGTGGGGGCGAAATTCTTTCCCGTGAGGGGACCTGCCAGGGTGACCCCCTTGCGATGGCCATTTACGCTGTTGCTGTTATGCCTCTCATAAACAAACTGTCACACGAATGTCCAAACACCACCCAGCTGTGGTACGCTGATGACGATTCCGCTGCTGGCACCCTTCAAGCCACATCCCTTTACTGGTCTAAGTTATTGCAGCTGGGGCCCGACTATGGGTACCACCCCAATCCGGAGAAGACAGTTCTTCTCGTGAAGCCATCTCTCGAGCACGCAGCGCAGGAATTATTCGCTGGGACTGGGGTGAGAATTGTTACGGATGGTTGCATTTATCTTGGTGGCGCCCTTGGGTCTGAGAGATTCCTGCACACATTTGTATCGGGAAAGGTTGATAACTGGGTTCACCAAGTCGAGCACCTTTCCGAACTCGCCACTACTCAGCCACATGCTGCGTATACTGTGCTTGTGCGCAGCATTATTTCGCGCTGGCGTTATTGCCTTCGGGCCGTAAATTGCTCTCCCGACCTATTTAATAGATTGGATGATGCAATTAATAATTCCCTGCTGCCTGCAATTGCTGGTGTGTCTCTAAGCAGTGACGATCCCCTTCGTCAGCTTATGGGTCTTCCATGCAGCCGTAGTGAGCTAGGCATCCCCCCAGTTGCACCATTATGTGAGGGTGAGTATTCGCAGTGTACCGAAGCCGTGCGCCCAATAATTGAGGCAGCCGTGCCACAGCTTGCTGCCGATAGCACGCGAACGGCTGCGGGCCGGCCAGATGCAGCTGAGGAGTTGGCCGGGGTCGAATTGGCAGATGAGGAATCGTCCGGAGTGGCAGTGGAGCGGAACTCAGTAACTAACATCAACAACGTGGAAGCTATGCCGCCGAATTCTGGGTCGGTGGATATTGTCTCAGCTGACCGGGAGTGCAGTGATGTTTTTCCGCTAAAGGGGGGTGATGCGTCAGAGATTTGACTCCCACTGCGTCCGCCGCGTCACACAGTCAACAATGAAACCGCTGATGAGTCTCTCACCTCATCATGGCTTCCGCCTCGGCCACCGTCAGCTTCAATGGAAATTCCGTCACGTGATACTAGCGTTAGCGAGGCTGTGATGGAGACTCGCCAGCGTTTAAGAGAAGGCAAGAAGAAGAGAGACGCTAGGGACAGAGACATCCTGGCAACAGTACATGATCACATGACACCAGACCAGCGATTTTTGGTGGAGATAGCTTTTGAGAAGGGCGTGTCCTCCTGGCTGACTGTTGAACCAAGGTCCGCCCATGGCACAACACTTAACAAATCAGATTTTAGAGATGCTGTGGCGCTTCGGTACGGTCTACCGCCTGATGGCCTTCCAACGAACTGTGTATGCGGAGCTAACTTGTCGACTGACCATGCCATGGTGTGCCCTTGTGGGGGCTATCCCACCGCAAGGCATAATGAGATACGTGATCTCATCGCTGAGCTACTCAGAAGTGTAAGTCCCCATGTGGCAATCGAGCCCAACCTTCTCCCATTTGGTGGTGAGACATTGGCATGGTCCACAGCTAACCGATCCCAGGAATCGCGGCTTGACATCAGGGCTCGTGGCTTTTGGACGCGGCAGTAGGAGGCCTTCTTCGATATCCGGGTAACGCATCCCAGGGCCACCTTGCTGTCTCGTGAAAAAGCCATGAGCCAATTGGAGCGCAATGAGCGGGAAAAAAGCGGCATTACGCAGAGCGAGTGAATCAGATCGATCGGGGCACATTCACCCCTCTGGTATTTGCGACCAATGGCATGATAGGCAAGGAGTGTTCCGTGTTTTTGAAGGCATTGGTTGGCTGTATTCTAGAGAAAAATGTTGATTTGGTGTATTCTGTTGTTGTCAATCATTTGCGATGTCGTTTGTCATTCTGCCTTTTAATTTTGTGATTCTATCATTCTATCAGCCATTATGGTGCTGCTGTTCTAGTCAATTTACAGTGATACACACTGGTTTGCATGTACCCTTGCCATACTCTCTTGTACTCTGTACTCTCTTGTACTCTGTACTTTGTACTCTGCACTCACTTGTCGTACCCTTGCTGTTCTCTCTCATACCTCACATTTGCAACAGCAAAACCACAGCCTAGCAGTGCAGGGTCGGCCCTTGACAAGCAAAACAAAATGAAGGACAATCCTTTTGCGCAAGCGCTGTTTCGCACCGCTCGCTCAACAACGATTACGTCACTACAGTGACGCAAACCTGCACTGCGTGCCACAACAAAACTAGTACAGTTAGCAAAACAATATTCGAAGTTCGAGAGAACATTGCTTCTCGTTTCTTTTGAATTCTCAGCCAACGAGAAGCGTACACTACTCTGCCGGCATGCCTCACTTGTTTTTTGGTCACGTGATGCAGGCTTAACGGCATGCAGAAGATTTAGAAATTCAACGTATCAAGGAACAACCGAGGCTGAAGGAAGAAGTGCTGAATGAAATAGTGAACTACGGGAGTCCAGAGGAGCAGCAATTACGGGCTGCCGACGTGAACCAGAGAGAGCAGACATTGATGGGCAAACGTTTTTAAAGTCACTGAAGGAAAGAGCGCAACACGAAGCAGCTCATCAGAAGAAGCAAAGGTGACAACTCACCCATGTAAGGGCGAGTTCAGACTACCGATAAAAAGTGACGGAATGGGAAAGTTTCCAAGGTGATTTTATCATGTGAGGTTACTGGCACGTTACCGGCGGAAGTGTTTTACTGCCGTGGCTGCTGCGGCGGTAACTGCATTCCGGCAGTAAAAAGAGTGCTCAGGCTGGGAAAATGGGAAAACCCCTTCCCAGTGCCGCGGTGAGAGTTGCAAAACTTACGTACCAGTAACGTGAGTTTATCGGTAGTGTGAACGTCCTTCACGGTTTATCGCCATTCACGGTTTCTCGCCATTCACGGTTTGACGGGATTCACGGTAATCTGAACACGCCCTTAGGTGCTGATGGCTATAACAGGGACGGGTCCAGGGGGTTCCGGGGGTTAAGCGGAAACCCCTAAATTTTGCAAATCTACTAGTGGCATCCATATGCATGTACTATACATGTATCAGCTATTCAGCTTTGGATAAACTGCAACCTCCTGTGGAGATCTCTGGATCAGCCACTGTATAAGACAGTTAGTGTTTGAATATCAAGGAAGGTCTCTGTATAATATGAATGAATGTGGCGTGCTAATCACAGGTAGAGGAGGGTGGTAAACAGCAGCTCGCCTCTTGCCTATAAAGCACCGTATACGAATGAAAACTAATGGAAACACACGCAAGGCTTATTGTTTCTCTGTACTGCCCATCATGGAACCCAAATTTGGGAACTCAGGGTGAACTTGACATGGACTCCATGGACTGTTCCTGTTTCGAGCAACCGCTGTGACAAGAAACTTTTTAAACGAAAAGTCGGCCAACTTGGAGGCAACGGGCCAACACAAAGGAGTGGCTCACTTCGATCGACTCTGGCCTCAGAGCAAACTTCAACATGCCAGCTACCTTCCACAAACATAATATTATTACGAGCGAACAATCCACACTGATGATCGGTTTGGGTCTACACAATTCTGCTGTCAAACTAATCCTATTTGAAACACTCTCCTCTACCGCTTGCAAAAGTGTACCCGTTTGGATTTGAAGGCCTCATTCGATTCATTAGGCACCACAGTACAAACAGGTATCTACTGGGCTTGTACAGCGCTGGGGAACTCGCTTTCGCGGAAATACTCGCTTTTCGTCCGGGCTCAAAATATTGCATCAGTTGTTTTCTCTGTGCTGTCTTTCTCACCTTGGAAAACCTTTGACACATTTACACTGCTTGGTCTCAGTAACTGAGTGTTCTTTACTGCTGGTCTTCTGTACAGAGGTTTGGTAACGACATACTATCGAGAATGGGTGTCACTGGCGATCTCTACTCCATCGCCACATCGAAGTGTTTTCCGGATGGCACAGGAAGTAAGGCAGTTTGATGTATGCTGCTGCTGTCCAGGGTTGTGGTGGAATATGATTTTAACACGGTGAATCCGGACGTAGGAATGCTGCTTGCATGCTGGTGTGCACAAGCTGTCTGGAAATTGTGAAATTACATTACCAAGTACAAGTACTGGTGGTGCTTCTCTTGTGTTGTGGTGCTTCTCTTGTGGGTGGCAACATTGACAAGAATACTCTTCTTTGTTGATAGCACTTGAATCAGTCACTGCTGTCTCGGGAGTACAGCTGCCCACATCTAACTGTACGTGTTTCGTTAGGAAACTCAGACACGCGCTGCTCCAGAGTACTCATAACGACTTGTGGCTGAATCCATGAGCAATTCTAGTTCTTTTCGAGCCTGTTCGGCTGGACTCCGCAAAAGCAGTTCCTCGGAACAACATGCATCTCTTTCCGCTTGTAGCTGCTCTTTCAGCCTGGTCCGAATATATCAAAGGATCGGCGTCTACTTCAGTATCGCTGCTGGTCTAGTGACGCTATCTTCAGAGCCTGAACTGGCTGAAGCACAACGAGAAACTTCTCTTCGGCTTTTCGGTATTCACTTCGTGTCCAAGATTCTCTTTGTTCTCGACAAAACAGTTTCCTCCTTGCAAATCCGTGTTGCTAATTTTTGCAACAGCTTTGGTTGGGCGCACGCAGATGCTGAGATATCCATTGACCTGACTACAATGCAGTCATATAGGCATTGCTGCATCAAGTACCAACAGCAAAAAGGTGTTACGTGTCTACACAAAGGGATCCGCGATCCAGTAACCTGGTAACACAAGGAGGGTTGCACCTACTTCATGAGTGTAGCCGATTGTTGCCAAAAAAGCTGGGAATTCCAGATATTATCCACTATGAAAGTCCAAATGCCGCTCAAATCTCGCAAAATGCTCGTGTTTTTCCCTTTCTAATGCTCCACAATGCTCTGGTGCTCGGATAGTCCTTTAGGGGTTTTACGTTGGGCCCTAGACGACGGCTACAATGGCCAACTGGACAACAAAGAAGTAGTTGAGGCCAAAGAGAATGTTTTATTTTCTTGCACATGCTTATTATGTAGTATGACATAGTAGACGGGAGTCAGGCCGCTACAATTCCATAATGCCGAGTATAATGTCGGAATTATCCCCTGCACAATAGTGCTTAGGCGTAGAGTATGGTAGCCACTATTTTTTCTGCTGCTGCTGCTGCTACTTCTACAACTTTACCAGCTGGTGAAGAATTATGGAAGCGTCAGTCTGATTCTCTTTGCTATTCTCCAATACCGTATAATCTCTATTACAAGCGCAGTCTCTTGTAAAAGCCCAGTCTCTATTATAAGCTCACTCCAAGAGGGCTTCGAAGATATACAAGCCCAGTCACCAATATAGCCGCAGGGCTTATAATGGAGAACCGTATGGATCATGTCCATGCATGCTTGACGTCACACAGTATCACATAAACACATGCTGTGGTAAGCGTTTGTGATACCCGAGATCTAAAGTACAGACTCAGTGTACCAGGAAGCACAAAACTGCAATCTTGGTACCTGCTGGGAAACTTTCTGATACCGATATAATGAAAAATGATAAGCAATGAACTTGTACCAGACGGGTAAAAAAATTTAAGCCCAGACTCTAGTAGAATCCCAGTCTCCAATATAAGCCCAGGGTTCGGACTGATTGAAAAAATAAAATAAGCGCTGGGCTTATAATGGAGATAATACGGTTATATGTGTGTGTGTGTGTGTGTGTGTGTGTGTGTGTGTGTGTGTGTGTGTGTGTGTGTGTGTGTGTGTGTGTGTGTGTGTGTGTGTGTGTGTGTGTGTACGTGTGTGTGTGCTCTAGGGGGTGGAATGCATCCTAGCAGCATGCCACAACCCAGCATGACTGCATCGGCGACCAACAGCAGCTCCGTTACCATGCCGTTAATAGCCGCCAGCATGGCGGTTGGCGGTGGCGATGGCAGCGTGGTGAGCATTGCCATTGTTTGTTTGTTTGTTGGTATACTTTATTTGAATTCGCTAAACGAAACGAGCACACATGCTTAATGACAAGGCAGCGAATATGTTATTATGTTACAGGGAAGGAGAGTTGGGGAGAAAATAATGAGAAAGAAGAGAGACATGGCCAGCAATCAAGGACATCTGAGAGTTGTAATTTTTGTACTCCTCCGAGGTGTGATTTTTGGCGTGCTGGGCCAAGCACAAGGAAGCCATCTGCAAAAAAACTGCAGAAAATGGTTGTTGTTTGATCCTTTGGTGTAATCTTTGTTTCTAGTCGAAGCTAGTTGCTGTTTGGAGCAGAAACGCTGAAATTGACTATTTTCTGCATGTACTCATACATGTACTCATGTACTCAGGCATGCAGTCTCCCTCGTATTTTAGCTATTTTTCTGGAATGGATGCTGCTCTGCGCCCCTTGGTGAACATTTCCTGCGCTCGTGGAGCAGCTGAAAAGGACCACTGGTATGTCTGGTTCCTGGTTTGAAAGTGGAGAGTCGACTTTTGTGCCTTGAAAAAGGAGTAGAGAGCGATAAAGGTACGTCTGTGGCTGATTTTTGAGTGCTCCTCGTACATTTTTGATCGTGATAGAAATTCTCGGACCAAAGTCAGACCAAAGTCAGCGCGATGATGGTCGTACAGTTTTCTTGTGAATTTTTTAGTTGTTTCATCTCGTATCTATGTCAGTATCGTGATGGTGAAGTGGAGAGGGTGATTTTCTTCCTCTAGGCTTCGTTCGGCTGACTTTGCTTCGTCCTCGTTGAAAAGTGATCCTGAAAAAAAGGTCGATTCGCAAAATTATGTTGATTTTCAATGTACGAGATGACATGCGATTGCTGGCTATGATGGTAGACATCTCAATGAAGAGCGAAGCGTTATCAAAACTACAAGTAAGCCAGCGAATGACAGTTCTGTAAACCGCCTAATAAGACACCCCTTAAAACTAAGTACTAACCGCTAACGAGAGAACTTGCTACTAACATCGGGAGGGTTCAGCCCTGCCCTGCCAGTTACGGACTTACGGGGGTCGCCATGGCAAATAATACTGGTAAACAATGAAAATCAATCACAGACTTGAAGCTGTCTCAGGGCCAGTTTATATCATAACTTCAGGAGGATCGGACGGTATACGGTGCGACGGCAGCTTTGAAGCTGCTGAGAGACGACAGTACTCTGACTGCATCCGGTAGGACGTTCCAAAGGGCGCTACCTTGGGAAGCAGGGCGAGATTGTCCGGTGCGGGTTCATGTACCTGGCAGACGGAGCCCAAGGGCAAGATCCAGGCGCGTCCTACGATCCGCGCAGCGTACGAAGATATCTGGGAGGGATGGACTCGCACTTGCGTGTATGCACCGCCAGACAAAGATCAGGACCTTCTGCCAATGCACTTCTCCAGTCCTGAACACCTGCATGCGTTCCAGGAGATCACTGGCATGGGAGCACCCTGGCCGGCCGTAAACTGCTCTTGCCCCACGGTTTTGTGCTACTTGGAGCCGATCGGTCTGGGCCTAAGTGAGTCCTGGGCAAAACGCAACGGACCCATACGGTAGATCCGGCATGATAGCTGCCTTGAAGAACAGCACAGGTCTGGGCCTAAGTGAGTCCTGGGCAAAACGCAACAGACCCATACGGTAGATCCGGCATGATAGCTGCTGCCTTGAAGAACAGCACACAGACCCATACAGTAGATCCGGCATGATAGCTGCCTTGAAGAACACGGATAGCAAGTGTTAGTGACTTCCGTGTCCGCCACAGACTTCCAATTTTCTTATTAGCTTTCGTGATGATCGCATCGACCTGGGGCTGCCATGACATGCGTACATCCAAGATGATGGAAAGGTAGCGGGCACTGGTGACGCTTGGCACAGGCGTGCCATCGCACTTTACCACAACGTTGGGACTCTGGCCATGGGATCCTGCAAAGACAAGGAGCTGACTCCTGGTGGCGTTGAGGATGAGACCACGGGAGACTAGCCAGCAAGCTAGGCTAGAGCCGGCTGTTGTGAGCTCAGACGAAACGAGGTCAGCGCTGCGGCGGCTAGAAGTCAAGGCTATATCGTCTGCAAACTGGATTGACGTAGTCGGGGAGGTAACAGTCGGTACGTCTCTAGTGTATATGCTGAAAAGCAGAGGCCCCAGGACTGAACCCTGCGGAACACCGCAGGTGCATGTAACAATCCTGCCGAGTCTGGCACCAGTGCGCATTTGCTGTTGGCGACTTGACAGGTATTGTTTGAACCAAGTCAGTGCTTCTCCAGTAATGCCAATGTGAAAAAGGTTCTCGATAAGAATGCTGTGTTTGACTTTATCGAAGGCTTTCCACATATCTAGTAGGCAGGTTGCCACAACTGGACAGTCATCTCGCCCAGTGAGTGTTGACTCTGTCAGATATCAGGGCAAGAGCATCTTCCGTAAAGTGACCATGATGGAAAGCAAATTGGGTCACTGGCAAGATGTTCATCCGTGCGACATGTTTCAACAACGATTTTTGCACGACCTCCTCAAGTATTTTGGACAGTATTGGTAGCAGTGATACCGATCAGAATTTTTTGGGAACAAAGGGATCGCCAGACTTGTGGAGCGGAGCAACGTGACCTAATTTGAACTGCTGTGGAACTTCGCTGCTGGATAAGGATATATTAAATTATGTGGTAAGAGATGAAGCTAATATATCAGCACATTACTTGATTAGGAGACCCGGGATTCCATCACTTTCAGTAGCTTTGGCTGGGTTGACTTGCTCCACAGCACCGACTGTGATGGGTGGAAAGGGCACTAAGAAATGCTCTGCAGGAGGTCCCGCAGGCAGGAGTAGTTCGGATGGCCGCGGTATGTCCGTGACGGCAGTCTCGAAAACAGACGTAATCACCTCCATACCACACCGTGACTCCTGATGTGTCCGCTTTCGACCGGTAACGAACTTTATGACGGACCATAGCTGACGGGGGTTTCCGTGTTCTCCTCGCACTTGTTTCGAAAGAACTCATTCCGTTTACGCCTGTAGGCATTTGATGCAGCGGACCGGGCCTGTTTGAATGCTGAGTGGGTCTGCTGGCAAGTTTTGTCCGATAGCCAACGCTTGTGCAGCCTGTTCTTCCGCATAGTGAGCTGATACAGCTCTCTGTCCGACCACGGTGGTTCGCTTGGGGGTTTCCGGGTTTGCTTTCAAGTGAATGGAGCATGGCGATCCAGAACAGTTATAAACTTTGAATACCAGTCTTGCCACATTTTCATCCACGTTAGCCTGAGCATGAAAAGCATACAAGTTTGCAGCAGTAAGGTCATTTCGGTAGGCGTTTATATTGATGTTGCGGAGATTTCGGGTGGATATAGCCGGCTTACTGGTCGACTGCTTGGGCACGGAAAGAACTGCACAGTGGTCACTGATCGTGCACTGAATGACATGGCACATCGCTACTGTTTCGGGACGGGCTAGGATTAGGTCGATTACGGTACCTAGGGGCAGTCGGGCGTCACGCGCGTGGCACTGTCCACGTCGTTCGCGTTTGCTAGACTGTATGCACCTGCCAAGTCAAATAGATGGCGAGTTTGATAGTATGTCCTGCTGGTCTCAAGACCAGGCGGTCTGGCATTCGTGCTGAAATCGCTGAGGAGAGTTATCGATGGGGTTATCCGTGAGGCACCGTGAAGCGCTCTCTCTAATCGGGTCCAAAAGCTGATGGGCTCAGTTGGTGGGCGGTAGACGCAAGCAAATACATAGTGGGCTGTCCCAGAATTCGGTGTCTGTAACCAAAGAGCTTCCAGATCATCCTGCGCAAGGTCCAGCCGAGGTTGGAGAGCAAGCGATGAGCGATAGTAGAATGCTACGCCGGCTCCTGGGCGCCCACGGTCAAGTCTCACGAGGGAGTAGTCTGGAATGACTAGTCCTCCATTACTGACAGTCTCATCCAGCCATGTCTCCGCAAGGCCAATCACGTCAATCTGGGAGCTATCTAAGAGTGCCTTAATTTATGGGTCTTGTGTCGCAGACTGCAAACATTTAGGAATGCAATTGTCAAGGGGATTGACCTATTTTGTGGGGTACTGTGCCTGGGGAAAATGGTTATGCATAGGAGAACTTACGTAACACAATACAAAGCAATCAAAACGAAGATAAAGAACAATTGTGCGAGAGAAGAATCAATCTATGTGCTACGGCGCCAGATCCTGGGCTGTGAGCGGATTCCGATGGGCTTCTTGGCTTTCCTTTGCTTCCTGGTACGAATATCTGTGAGGCACCCCCGACAGAACATCACCGTCCAACAACGTACACACACACATCCTTGTACTTGTACTTGTTGCTCATTGCCAAAACTGGTCACGTGGGTCTCCCCGGGAGAGGGGAGAGACTCAAAAGGAATCTTGGAAAGATGTCAATTGGCTATTGAACCACCCAACGACCGACACCCCCTGAAATCCCCAAAACTCTGGGTGGACTTGAAAATGATCCCACTTATGGGCTCACCACACCTCAGTAAGTGGGTGAGGACAAGGTGCAGAAAAAGGATTGACGGCTCACCGACGATGGAGAGCTGGATGCCGAAGTCACTACTCGTCTTGCCAAGGCATCGAGGGCGTTTGGTAGCCTCCTCCAACCAATTTTCCGGAACTCGGGTCTATCGCTTGGAATCCTACGTCACGTCTACCAGTCCGTGGTCCTTACAATGCTGCTGTATGGTTCTGAGACATGGACGCTGAAGGCACCCCTCCTGCGCAGGTTGGACCCGTTCCATCGACAGCGATTCTGAGTGTTACTCGAGACCAGCAGTGGCAGGAACACCTGTCAAGTGAAGACCTGGCGAAGCGCAGCGGCATGCCAGCCTCGCTGGAGGAGGCCATTCGTGCAAATCGCCTGCGATAGCTTGGTCACCTCGCAAGGATGGACGACACCAGGTTGCTAAAGCAGATCCTGTTTGCGGATGGCACTAACACGCGGCCCCGCCATGGACCCAAGGAGAGATGGAGAGATG